AAATGGACGACACATCATTCGAATTTGGTGAACCTTGTTAAAAATCAGCATGTTCTTATGTTCGACTGGGTTTGAATATTACTGGACACGTGTCGATGGTATGCCTGTGGTTATAGAAATCGGCATTGTTTTGAAACCGGTGCGTAATCTCTCCTAAACATCTTGCATTCGTCTATATTTTATTCCCGTTCATGTTTTATTCAAGTTATGAACATCAGTCTGGAAGCGTTTGTGCTACTAGTATTATATATATATTATTAAATTGTATTGTGCATGGGCATTTCGCAGTGATGCGATCACTAAGACTTAATTAAAAGCTAATAGTATTATTATTTGAAACAGATATTTTCACACAACCAAGCCACATGGTCTCAAATAGGAATATAGCTTAAAGGGCGGCGGTCGTTGCTCAGCGCGTGTAAACAAGCAATGTATTTTACACGCGTTGTATACGTCGCTATGGGCCCAATATATCGAACAGAACGCGGCGCGTTGGCTTCCGCCTCTTTGGAAAAAGAACACCGTGTACACGCAAATTATCAATGCAACGAAAGAGGATGACTCCATAAAGAAAAGGACAGTAGTGTATACCGTCATTAGAACGTATAAGCCTGATGGCGTTATTTAATCTCCTGTCTGATGTCATGATCGAGTGAGCTCCGAAACAATTATATCATTATGCTGATAGAGACCGTGCATGCACATCGGTGCTCACCGCTTCACAGACATTTCAGATACAAGTAAGGGTGAGTACAAGTTTTTGTGTGTGTGTGTTGATGAATGATGAGTTTTGATTCATCTTAAAAACTTACAAATTATTGCGAGCAACGTGACATACTGCGATACAGATACGGTACATTCCACAACAAAATATCACGTAACCATTCTACAGTGTCTGTCCCAATACGGTATTCTTCAGTGAACCACCGCTGCGATTAATAGACGTAACATTGACTCATGCCTGATGTATCTCAATGTGCCAGTTCTCTAAAATTGTTGTTCTTGTCGCTCTCTCACTTCCTTCGTGATTATTCGTGAAGATTATCCCCCTCCGATATGTTTGGCTTGAATAGTGTTTTCTAGTTTCTATCCGTTCTCATATATAACTCGCCGCTAATTATAAATTAAACCCGTATGATCGAAATCGTAGTTATTAATTAACAAATTTAACAACTTTTTATCGTAGCCGAAATCAGTTTAAATTTCACGCGCAGAATTACATTAAATTGACAAGACAATGCTTGAAATTTCAAAGAATAGAGACTGGCGGCCAATAGAAGCGACCCAAAAGCGATCCAAAATGGCCGTCTGGTAGCCATTTTGCTGCACTGACACAAACGTGACATAAGACTAGGTTGACCTGCTAAGGGGTTAGACATTTATATTCAGCATTATTCTTTGTCATATGTATCTCGGACATGACCGGACATGAAGGATTATTAATCTCATTTTGTTTAATATTTCGTGTCTACTAAATTCTAAAATACAGTTCGATTAATTGTGTTCTGCTGGTACAAATACAAAACATGTGTACATGTAAACATCTGAACTTCTTTGTATACAAACAAAGATGTTTTAAGACTCGTCTTTGTCTGTTCATGTTTTCAAAGTTTACATGTGATGGTTAAATTGAGCGCTGTTTTTTCTGCCATTTGTCAACATTAGTTACATGATTTATTTGATTGACATTGATTTAGTAATATTCGCAACAAAACATAAAAGGAAAATATTTTACTGCAAACAAAAATTGATTGGCATTCCTTTCGATAAAAAAACTTGCATGTATGTGAAAAGAAGCACTGCGGTTCTCCATCAGTGTCTTTCTAGTATTATCATGTAAACACTTCATTCATTTGATGTTGCCACATTTTAGAATTCTGTTTTCCCGGAACTAAAAAAATATATAGATTGGATTTATGGGAAATAAGGAAATTAATTGCAGTGATATATATTGATCAAATATCACTGAGTAGGTATGTAATCGCCATTTAATCCACGTCAAGAAACAATTGAAAATTTTCATACGAGTTTAATGACTGCGCTCAAATTATTTAATATTGGTCTGGGAGTAAACTTAAAATTATAAATATATTATAAATAATTTATTTATTTATTTATTTATTTATTTATTTATTTATTTATTTATTTATTTATTTATTTATTTATTTATTTATTTATTTATTTATTTATTTATTTATTTATTTATTTATTTATTTATTTATTTATTTATTTATTTATTTATTTATTTATTTAAATTTGCGGTTTGTGGTTTGTAGATAATATTATCCCATTAACCAGTTCTCCTAATGCGCGACGAAGCTTGCTAAACTATTCTAATCATACATGCGAATAGGCGCGCAGTTGCGACTTGGAAAACATGTTCAAAATTAAATCTATTATATTACTACTGCTACTATAAATTAGTGTAATACATTGCTATAAGTGCATTTTTTCAAAGCGATAATCTAAAATATTCACATATATTCATTTTTGTGACTTATATCGCTCATATTACTATTAGAAAGTTCATTGCGAAGTATTCATTTATAATCTCAAATTCTCGACGGGACAATGAATGATTAGTATTTTTATTTTCCACAATCTAAGGTGTATATTCCGTCACGTAATGATTCCACCCACACATCGACTGAAATCGGCCATTCACATAAAATTGCCTTGTGTAGATTCTTGTCGAAATTCTCATCTAAAAGTGATTACCGGCATAGATATAAGGGAAAAAGTAAATAATCAGCCGAGAACACAGATCAATTGCAGTTAATTTATAGTACAATCGTATCTACATCTTGTACACGTACATATCGCGGTTAACAAAGGAGATACAGTAAAAGTATGTTTTAGAACCATAATTGAAATTTTGAATTTGCTTGAATTAATATTTGTAATATAAATGCATATCAATGTCAATGACAAAAACGACAGCAATATTATTTCAGTTTATCTGTAATATAATTATTTGTATAAAAATAAGAATTAAAGACTATTTTTACCGTCATTATGTGTCTTAACCGATGCACCGACAACGCACGTAATATGTAGCTTCCGAGAAAGAGCGCATCGACGCGTGTATCTTTTCAAAACATTCAGCGGAAACAAGTAGTCGAGGGACAGTGGTAGAAAATTTTACGAAATCAACTTCATTGGGATAAATTTTGGGGATGTTGACTGCGAAAATATTGTTTACGGGTTAGTTTAACCTTGATTTCAAGCCTCGTTTTTGTGAAATTATCATAAAACACCGGGAGGGGAATTCGCCAGGCCATAATTAGCTACGGCTTGTTTTCTGTTTTTAAACTAAACTAAATTGACAGATAACCTTGAGTGCGTTGGCAAGACATGCTCGGAGGAAAAGGGGGATTTGGTAGACCTAGAATAAGATGACTCAATCTCAATCTCATTTCCAGCATCCTGGGGCTTAGTGTGCAAGATATAAACAAAAACAGCGCAGGATAGAAAAACTGATGATTCAGAAAGAAATACTTGCTCTTTATTGACTACACTATAAAGAAAATACTGAAAATGACTACTACTAATTGATTAACGTGAAATACAATCTGTTGAAAGTTATATAAACAATACACGTCATGATTCTAGCTCATGACGTCATTCGTACCAACCAGTTCGTTGGATTTGTGGCACCAGGTGATAATTGCTGCGTCACATGACTAACTCTGATTGTCAAAAATAAAGAAAAAATATAATTTTCCATATTCAAACATGACGTCTGAGCGCAACAGCGGGCGCGCAATTGTAGTTTTTCAATTATTTTATTATTCCAAGAATATTTGTTTGAATTAAATTTTCACGTGAATATGCTGACGTTTAACGTGAATATGCTGACGTTTTACCTGAATATGGTGACGTTTAACGTGAATATGTGTCGTTTAACGTGCATACGTTGGCATTTAACGTAAATATGGTGACGGTTAACGTGAATATGCTGACGTTTAACGTGAATATGCTGACGTTTAACGTGAATATGCTGACGTTTCACGTGAATATTGTGTCGTTTAACGTGCATACGTTGGCATTTAACGTAAATATGGTGGCGATTAACGTGTATATGCTGACGGTTAACGTGAATACGCTGACGGTTAACGTGAATATGCTAACTTTTAACGTGAATATGGTGACGTTTAACGTGAATATGTGTCGTTTAACGTGCATACGTTGGCATTTAACGTAAATATGGTGACGGTTAACGTGAATATGCTGACGTTTAACGTGAATATGCTGACGTTTAACGTGAATATACTGACGTTTCACGTGAATATTGTGTCGTTTAACGTGTATATGGTGACGGTTAACGTGTATATGCTGACGGTTAACGTGAATATGGTGACGTTTAACGTGCATAGGGTGGCGATTAACGTGTATATGCTGACGGTTAACGTGAATACGCTGACGGTTAACGTGAATATGCTGACGTTTAACGTGAATATGGTGACGTTTAACGTGAATATGCTGACGTTTCACGTTAATATGGTGTCGTTTAACGTGCATACGTTGGCATTTAACGTAAATATGGTGACGGTTAATGTGAATATGCTGACGTGTACCGTGAATATGCTGACGGTTAATGTGAATATGCTGACGTTTATCGTGAATATGCTGACGTTTAACGGCATACGGTGGCATTTAACGTGAATATGCTGACGGTTAACGCGAATATGCTGACGTTTAACGTGAATATGCTGACGTTTAACGTGAATATGCTGACGTTTAACGTGCATACGGTGGCATTTAACGGGAACATGCTGACGGTTAACGTGAATATGCTGACGGTTAACGTGAATTTCCAATAACTTAGATATGGACGTTTGTGCAAATTCTATTTTATTTTCCTGTTTTATGAAGGCTTTGTATGTATAATATTTATTAGCAAAAGTTGAAAGGGTTCAAGCCATGCTGTTCAAATATTGATGTAACCTTCATATTTTTTCCAATAATTTAGATATGGATGTTGTGAAAAATTTTCAACGTTCCTAAACTTACGGGGACGGCGAGCTGTAGTCGACTTTTCTTAATTAATACATTTTACATGCATATAAACATACAAACATTACAGCATGAAGCATGGGATTCAAACACACGATCATGACTATCGCCTCGTAACTGCAGGCCGACCACGTCACACTCACTGCGCCAATTTATGCAGTTAGAAATGACGTATAGTCAGCACCGCATCGCCGGGACTAGATGGCAATGTACGCAAACAGCGTACTTAGCAGCTGCATTTGGCGGGAAAGCAATTTTATTTTCCTGTTTTAGGAAGGACATACATTTTTATATTCAGTTTTTCCTTTTACCGAACGTGTTGACTACATTGTTGAGGAGTCGCATGAGCGGGAGTTGAGTCCTAAACAACGATATCATCGCATGCTAAAAACGCAAAGGCTCGTGGGTAGAAGTTTGTTTGTAAGCAATGACACGCTATGGCCATCTGACGCTAGCGCAGGTGACAACTCCCCCGCTTTAACAGTGTAAAGATCAACAGACTTCACGTAGCACGAATTTCAATTTCAAACAATGTATTTAACAGACGTTGTCGTTGTATTTCAATGATTTTTTTTTAGAGATTAGACTATATTCTACTACAAGACGAACGGCCAAAACAGATGGTAATTTGAACGACTCTGCTTACAAGTTATACACTTCATTTTGACGCCAAGTCTGTGCCCGACACAATAGGACGCAAATTAAAGTGTTGTTGTTAAAACGGCGATTAACGGTGTCGCGTACAATTCTCTGTTTTTACAGATTTTTATTCATAACATCCGAATTATGATATCCAAACTCCCCGTCGTACTCACATCACTGATTCTTCTCCTGATGTTGGCCTCGTACGTAGCGACGGATGAATATAGATTCAGGGACCGTGGACACCATGATGGAATTCAACACGTTTACAGTAGTAATCCCGACGCTACCCAGGTGAGTGCAACAAAGATGAGTTTGGAGTTATTGGTGGAGGGGGGGGGCATCTTTGAACGGAAATGTTTGGCAACAATTACCGTTCTCACAATTTTTAGGAAATATATATATATATATATATATATATATATATATATATATATATATATATATATATATATATATATATATATATATAAGTACTTGTGTGTCCGATATATAATTTGTTTTTCTATTTTATACAGACGTTGCTGCGAGACAAGATACGACCCAAATTGAAAAAGATATTGACGAGAGAGGTCAAGCGAGATAATCCAATCAGAACAGAAGTTGCTATTAAGCTTAACTTTCTGGCTAAATTATGTGTACAATTCGACTGTTTTAGTGGTAATGACAAATACAGTAAGTGCATGACATACCTAACTATTTAGTCAATATGCTCTTAGCACTCTTGCTCGTAGTAAGAATAGAAGTATTTTGGACACTTATCACCGAGGAGGGTCATGACCATACTTTTGAAAAGTGTCACGTTTATTCGTATTTCATTTTTTTTCTGTATTTTACGCATTTACGACTCATACGTTAGTAATTGTACTTTTATTTTGAAAATGAATTTACATTTGAAAATTTACTTTTATTTTTGAAAAGGGATTTATAAAATGAAAATTTACTTTTATTTTTTGAAAATAGATTGACATTTATAATTTCATCTGAATTTAAAATTGCTCCTTTGGCTCTTTTACTTTTAACCTTTGACCTTAACTACTTAGCAAGTCATTTCATGTGAGGTATAACGCGTGTGTGCTGATATATTACACGCTTTTCTTGAGTCAGAAAGGTGAATATCGGGACTTTTTTGTCGTTTACACTTTTTCAAAAGGTATGGTCATGATCCTCCTCCGTTGACGTACTTGTGATGTATACAAGGAATGTAAATTACATTTCATGTGAAATTCTGTCATTTCTGTTAATAATAATATTATTAGAAACAAATGCCATGACAACATGTTATTTTCTCGACACAATCGTAAACAAGAAATAACGCGCCTTACAACAAACAAACAAACAAACAAACAAACAAACAAACAAAAACAACCGACAAACAAACAAACAGACCTGCATGTGCAATTTATTTTATAGAAACGTTTTTTATATCACGACTGTATTGCATTAACGTTGAGACAATGTTTGCTTATTCAATAGGACAATTACTGGTTGCCAAGGCTACGCGTTGAAGGCAAACCTGAATCTGCCGCATCGGAAATGAAAAGACTCAATGTTGTTTCAATTTATACAAACTTTGCCTAAAGTTGTATCATCTGCAAAATTGTGTTTACAACCTTTGACATTTCGAGTAATATATGTTCTGTAATGAATATAGCAGCTACGGTATTCGCAAAATATCTGCAATGCCGAACATCGCCGAGCAGTTCCGTAGATTCGATTGTGAGGTTCAGCGTTTGAAAATGGACCATACGACAAAATTATTATTCGCTGTAGAGTACTTCGTTTTAAAATTAGCCTGAGATGCAAAATGAACTCTTGAATAATCAGAATTATTTCCCGTATTAGGTACCTCTCATTAGAATCTATGGGAAGACTATTTCATCGCATTACTTGGATCTGTCTAGTTTAGTTTTGTTTAGCGCGCAATCCGAAACAGAATTCGACCTGTAATATGTTGACAGATTTATTATAGTGAAGACAATCGATAAACGACGCAATATGTCTTGGTTTTTTTCTCAGTAAAACTCGCGAATGCCATAACCTTAAGGATTGATTTTTGCCAGTTTATTCAAAATTAAAAGGGACTTCAACTAAATTTTGCCGATAATACAATTTAATAATCTGTACACTATTTTCGTACAAACACTAACTTTTTTAGAATTTTGAATTCCTGTGTTAGACTACCTTATAATAGATATTAGCGAATTAGCGTTACCATCATTTAATTATGCACTGTTAAGCAACTCTTGTATATTTTGGAAATTTGAACATTTTTAATGTTTTTAATGTTTTTTGAATGAGGTAATAAGTGTTAA